TAATCTGATGTACCAAATTCTGATGCAACTTTGTGGCTGCCTCAACTTGTTTCTGCCCAAGCTTGTGACTGATCGATCATGTTAGTGACCTAGCCTATGACTGACCTAGCTTGTGCGACAGACATAGCCTGTGTATGCCTTCACCTTTTTGCCTGTCCAAGGCTCCAACTTACCTATCTAATGAGTGACCTATCTTGTGACCAGCCTAGCACGTGGCTTACCTACCTGTGACTTGTGATGTGACTAACCTAGCCTATATAGCTGTTTTGGACTGTGACTGTTGTAGCCTATGCATTACTCTGCCTGTGATTCACCTAGCTTGTGACTTGCCTAACGTGTGAGTTACCGAGGCTGTAACCCGCCTAGCCCCTATTTGACCTAGCTTGTAATTTGCCTAGCGTGTGAGTGATCAATGTTGTAACCTACCTAGCCCCTATTTGACCTATCGTGTAACTTACCTGGCTTGCCGATTATGTTAGCCCAACTGGCTCCGCAGCTTGAATGCATCCGATTTGGCTTGGAAAGTGTGTAATACAAACCAGCGCAAGCTGAGTCGCGTTGGTTCCCGGTCAGTCCCATCGTCTGAAGTTGACCAGCTCGCTGAAAGCCGAGTGGAATCTCAAGACAGGTTTCAAGTTGACTACAGGAATTGTCCGTCTCGCCTCAAAGAGCACCTTGCTATGTATAGCATTCACTGGCATTGTTGTCCTCCCTTGCCCTCTACTTTCAGATCCCTCATTGTGTGCTTGCTCCTGCTTCCCTCGCCTGCCTGACTGGTAAGGAGAAGAGCTGCTCCGCTTTTCAAACAGCATCCTTTCTTGCTGCCTTCCTCGTCCTAGTTTCTGTTGTGGCCTATCCCCGCTGGTTCTACCGCCGCCGCTTTTTACAACCCTCACGTGCTTGTTTTTACACCAGCTTGTGATGCAAGTCTCGCTATCTATCCATACATTGGACATGCTCTCTAAAAGGGAAGGAGGAAATGTCTATGTCTCTTAAGTTCTAGTCTTCTCCTGTTCTCCTCTCCCTTTTCCTGCCCGATAATGGCCCTTTCAAACCACTCTTTTCTTACCACCACTATACCTTGGACTTTCTTGCTGCTCTGCTTGTTTTGCTCCCTTCATCTGACTGACTGACCCTACACCACCCTGTATACTTCTCTACCTGATCATGTCTCCCTTGTTGGTCTTCTCTGGTTTCTCTCGTCGTTTCGTCACTCTTTTAGAAAATAAAAATCGCAGCGATCAAAGGCACAAGAATCCTCTCGGGGAAGTGGGTCTTCCGCGTAAAAACCGCAGCGGATGGGACGATCGAGCGCTTCAAAGCGCGCTGGGTGGTTCGCGGCTATGACCAAAGGCATGGGATCGACTTCGACCAGACGTTCGCCCCAGTCAGCCGCCACACCTCCGTCCGCATCCTGCTCGCCATCGCAGCTGCAAGGCACCTGCCACTCCGTCAGATCGACGTGAAGAACGCGTTCCTGTACGCGCTAGTAGACGCCGTGATCTACGTGGAACAGCCACACACCTACGGCGAAGGAGACTCGCGCGTATGTCAGCTGCGCAAGTCACTCTACGGGATCAAGCAGGCCCCAAGGCTGTGGCAGCAGTACCTGCATAACATCCTGCTTGAAATTGGGTTCAAGCAAATGCCACACGATCCAGGGATGTACCGCCACGATTTTCGCGGCGAATACATCCTCCTCACTGTGTACATCGACCACTTGCTTTACACCGGCTCAAACAACGAGCTCCTCCAGCAGTTCGAAAAGGCTCTGGCGCGGCGCGTCGACATCGCATGCAACCACGAGGTGAAGCAGTTCCTAGGCCTCAACATCACCTACGCGCCTGAAGCCATTCACCTTTCAGCGGCTAAGTACGCAGAGGAGTTAGGGAAGCGGTTCAACATTTCACCTGCACCTCTCTCAACTCCGTACCGAACTCCCGGACCGAACTACAAACCCGACGCCAAAGCCCTATCCCCTGCTGGGATTCAGACTTACCAACAGCAGTTGGGATGCCTCCTCTTCGCCTCTGTCACCTGCAAGCCAGACCTCTCGTACATCGCAAGTCAGCTGGCACAGTACTCACGCAAACCAACGGCTGAAAATCTTCTGGACCTGCAGCGCGCTCTCCAATACTTCGTTTCAACGCCCAAGATTGGGCTGCGTTACTCAACTGCACCAACCCCATCCTTCAACCTCACCGGCTATGTGGACGCCGATCACGCAGCAGATCCCGATAATCGACAGTCCAGGACTGGGTTCCTGTTCCGACTCGAGCCTACGGGACCAATCTCCTGGAACTCACGGAAGCAGGAGTTGGTTGCCTTGTCATCAGCGGAAGCGGAATTCATCGCAGCAACCGCAGCAGTTCGCGAAGGCCTCTATCTGCAGGAACTCCTACAAGAAGCGAAAAGTCTAGCTTCGCCGACATTTTGTCTTCACTGCGACAACCAGGGCGCGATTCGCATCGCGAACAAGCCTGGTTTCGTTAACCACACCAAGCACATTGCGCTGCGGTACTTCTTCGTGAAGGACGAAGTAGACAAAGGCAAAGTCAACTTGATCTACTGCCCAGCAGGTGACATGGCAGCAAACTTCCTCACGAAGCGACTGCCACGCCAACAGTATCAGCACTGCTCCGAACTCAGCGGCGTGGTCAGGCAGGTCAAGCCAAGCTACGGCCAGGAGTGAAGGGGGGTGTTACGAATAGTAATATCCGATATTACTAAGCACTCCTCACCGTAGCAAGGAACGCACAATATCGGGAACGAACGCAAGCGTCAGACAGTTTGAATTGAGTCAAAGAGTCGGACGGTTACAGCACATCTGAACCGTCGGAAGTAAACGGCATCGGACAGCTGCAGGCAGGATGGTTTTTGCGGGAACAGTTACGAAACTTTACGCGCCGAACGGTTGGGATGCACTTGAATAAGGGAATCTACCCCTTAGAGTACATGGCTAGTCAGGTTGTTTCGAATTCCCTTGTACTCATATTTATATCGTTGTATTTGCATGTTTTTATTATCTCAAGCATTTTACATTCACTCTGCTATTGAGGTCAAGGGTCCACCAACACTACCTCACTGCGTGCGAACCTACCAGAGTAGATCCTGGGGTACGATCAACTTCTGACCTCAGGAGCCTGTTTATAAGAGACACCCGTATAATAGACAACCCATGTCTATTATTCAACAGTGTCTTATATCCGGGTGATGACGGTATGGCAAATCCACCCATGGCACTCCCCCCCCAATCTCCTGCTCCTCACCCCTCCGATCCACTCAGTCCGCCTCGGCCTCCCCTAGCATATATGCTGCCTGCAATAAGATCACCCGAGCCTGTGCCTTATGCAAAGCTACCCCCACCGCGGCCGTCAAAGACCCCACCAAGTATGCTGTGAATCCCATGCTGTTGCCCCTTCCCACCCTTTGTTTAGTGCCACCTTTAGATGAACATCCCCTTGCTGTCGCAACCACTGACAGAAACTTCCTCCCAAGCAGCCCCAAGTCTCAAGAATCAACGGGACGAAACGAACCCCTTTGTGCCGCTGCAGAAGAGGACGGTAGACCACCGCTTTCCTCCTCTCCCGCTCCTTGGCAGCATAACCAACCGTCCGTACACACTGCCCATGCTGCTGCACTGATAGAGAAACAGGGTCGAGAACGCTATGTCACGTAGGATTGTTGGTGGAATTAGGCAGTATGTATTAATGATGCTATTATAGTTCAGCAGATTGATGTATCATAAAGTAAATGGGCTCTATGCCATGTTCTACGCCCTGCAACTCGTTTCTAACGAAGAATTGTCGAATTTCAGGCAACTGAACCCAGTTCTCGAGGGTCGTGTTTCCCAATCGCTTCAATAATTAAGTTTGTTTCAATTGGTTAGGCGCGAGCTGTCAGTCACACGAGGTTCGGGCGTTTTCCAGAACGCGTTTCTATCTTGCAAAAAGCCGTCAGATTTTCCTAGTGTCAGCCGGGAGAGGAGGGTCGTCAGTCCACATGTGGCCCCTCAATCACATGTCACATTGACTAGTAAATCGACTAAGTTTGTGATCGAAATCGTACCGAGATTTGATCCCGGTCAGCCGGAGAGGAGGTACGGCCTTTAACATATAAATGGGGTCTGTCCCGGAACACGTTCCTAGCGGTTATACCTCATTGGCTGGAACCCCAATAACACCACTCCAAATCCACAGATATCACTCGGAGCCACATTGGCTGGAGAGGACAGGATCGCGTTCTCCCAGGAATGACTTCCGCAGCCGTCGGCCACGGCGAAAGCACTCGCGCGCGCCATGGGCACGCTCGCGCTCGTCATAGGCACGCTCGCGCTCGTTATGGGGCACCGTGCGCGTCACCCTATACCCGCTGCGTCACGGCGCCCTCGCTCGCCGTGCGCTGTCGCTGCATCACCCGCGTGCGCTCGAGCTCTTCACGGGCACCGTGCGCGTCACACCCGCTGCGCCGCCGCACGCCAGGCGGATCATGCGCGGCGTCGTCAGGCGACGAGTGAGGCAATGGCTCACTCGGAGTGCACTTGCTAGCGTGACGTGGCGATGACCATTTAAGCATACTTCGTCCATACCGTGGCTCATTACCGGGTCTTCACCGCCTCGTCTGTTACAACCGGTAGCATCACCGCCCGTGCGGTTTCACTCTTTTCCTACCACTCCTCCCTCCGACTAGTGCATTCCGACATCTTCTGCTCTTCCCAGCCGCGTCACGGTAGCAGCAATCTCCCTGCGACGCGTCTCTCGCGAGCCCAGCAAGTCGCTCGAGCCTGTACCGCCGCGCAAGGGTGAAGATCCAGAGGCGTGCATAAGCACCTGCATTGTGACATCATCTGCTCCCCGAGCCCCGCCGCGTCTGCTCGGCGCCTCTCGCGAGCCCAGCAACGTCAGCTCGAGCCTGTACCGCCACATAGGGTGAAGATTCAGCAATTTTGAAGGGGCCTTGAAAATTGCCTGTACCGCCGCACAGGGTGAAGATTCACCAGCATGATGGGGACTCCAACTCGCAAGGCCGTCACGGCTGCTCTGCTCGCCGTCGTGGTCGTCATCGCGGGTACGCATCGTGTGTTCTCCTGCGCTCGCATGCTCATTTGCTCGCATAGTCAGCATGCACCTCGCATAGTCAGCATGCACCTCGCACAGCGACAAAGGCCCAAACTTGGCTTGCTCACTCGCATCTTCATGGTCGGTCCCCCAATGCCGCACACACCGCCCCCCTCCGTGCGCCCCCCACCCCACGTGTCCCATTCCCACAGTCGCAGCAGCTGCTCCGGCGGCGAGCGCGGCAGCCCTGGTGGGCACGCGCGTGAAGGTCAACGGCCTCTCTTACGCCTTCAACTCGCGCCGCTGTGTCGCCATTGTGCCCAGCCTGGGCGGCGGGTCCTTGAAGGTGCAGGTGGCGTGGCAGCAGGATGGCAAGGCTGCTTGCGACAAGATTCTGTTCTTCCGCGGTTCCAGCTGCAGTGGAAGGGCATTCGGCTCTCTCGTGTATGGTCAGCAGAGGTGAGCGTTTGATGCTACTCGCACCCTCACTCTCACTCTCACTTACACCCTCACTCTCACTCTCAGTCTCACCCTCACTCTCACTCTCACCCTCACACTCACTCTCACTCTCACCCTCACACTCACTCTCACTAATTCCCTGCTCCCGAAGCCGCTCGTTCAAACCCCACATGACCAACGACCTTGCTCTCATGCTGCCCTCCCCGTGCCTTGCCCTCCCCGTGCCTTGCCCTCCCCGTGCCTTGCCCTCCCCGTGCCTTGCCCTCCCCGTGCCTTGCCCTCCCCGTGCCTTGCCCTCCCCGTGCCTTGCCCTCCCCGTGCCTTGCCCTCCCCGTGCCTTGCCCTCCCCGTGCCTTGCCCTCCCCGTGCCTTGCCCTCCCCGTGCCTTGCCCTCCCCGTGCCTTGCCCTCCCTGTGCCCAGGTCCAAGCTCCTTGGCAACGCTTTTATCTCCGCGCGCTGCATCACTGGTGGCGTCGTTACCACAACACCTGCCAGCACCACCTCGACACCCACCAGCGACACCAGTGCACCTGGCGGCGACAACACAACACCTGCTGGCGATACCACCACACCTGCCAGCGATACTATCGCAGCTGCCGGCGACGCCACAACACCTGCTGGCGATAACACGACACCTGCCACCACCACCGCACCTGTTGGTGACACCACCACACCTGCCACCACCACCACCCTTGCCGGCGACACCACCACACCTGCCAGCGACAACACAACACCTGCTGGTGCCACGTCAGCTCCTTCTGAGTACCCGGACTTAAAGAGGATAACCAGTAAGCCCCAATCTATTTGTTCCCCGTCCCGCTACCTGTGGGGACCTGGCGTCACTTGCGCTCAAGAGAAGCTCGCTGTCGGATCAATAGCTTTTCAACACTGCCTAATTCTATGCTCCTCTTCTCCTCTGCGCCGCCTGCCGGCCTGCCCCACGCATCCCCCTCCACTGCTAACCCCTCCACTGCTAACCCCTCCACTGCTATCCTCTGCTGCCGTCGTTGGTCCCTCTCCAGTGGGCCGCTGTGCTCAATGGAACGGGAATCCTTGTTATTGCACACCCCCCTTTCTATCCTCCGCGCCACTCCACTGCTAACCCCTCCAGTGCTATCCTCTGCTGCCTTGGTTGGTCCCTCGTCAGCGGGCATATGTGGCACGTACAGGCAGAACCCGTGCCAGGCAGGCTCGTGCTTCGACAGCAGCTGACTTTTGAGTGGACTAAAAAATCGAAGCCCTCAGATCTATCCGCTGCTGCCTTGGTTTGACCCTTTGTTGGTCCCTTTCAGCGGGCGCATGTGGAAGCTACAGGCAGAACCCGTGCCAGGCGGGCGCGTGCTTCGACAGCCGTGCCCGGAGCTTCTTCACATGCATGTGCCCGCCCAAGTACCAAACGACTTCCAACGGTTGCGGTAAGCTTGCACTCGCTTCTGAACCCTTGCAAGGTGGGCTCCCAGGGATTCTCCTGCATCTGGTCGCCCAAGCACCAAAAGATTTCCGGTTGTTGTGGTAAGCTTGCTCTCTCTGCTACCAGACGAATTGTCACGGTTGTGTGCTGCTGTCGTGACGGACAATGGTTTTGAGACCTTTCAGAATTGTTGTTGATCGTGTGCAGTGCAGCTAGGGTTTCGGAGTCTTGTGAGGTTGAAGAAGTCAATAGCGATGACTGGAGGTGCCTTGTGAGTCGACTCAAAGTCACCTAGCTATCTATGCATGCATGTTGCGTCTTCACCACTTCTACTGTGCGTGTGCAGCGAGGGTTTCGGAGTCTCGTGAGATTCAAGAGGCCGCTGGCAATGAATGGAGGTGCTTCTTGAGTTGACTCAGAAATCACCTAGCTATCTATGCATGTCGCGTCTTCTCGGTGGTTGTTAATCGTGTGCAGCAAGGGTGGCGGAGTCTCGTGAGGTGCAAGAGGTCACTGGCGATGACTGGACGTGCAAGGACGTGTACTCCATGTTTGGGCTCACGCTCAAGGAATTCGTGGGCATGAACCCGGTGAGTCCCGTGTTGGGCACGTTGGGGGCATTAGAGTCATTCACGCACCATGTCACCCCATGTGGCACCGTGGCACTATTTCACGTCGAGGACGTTGGGGGCATTAGAGTCATTCACGCACCATGTGGCACCATGTTACGTCAAATCATATCAATTTTGCACATCTCTGCCGCTTCTTCACAGTCATTCACTCACCCCCTCCCTTTCATTGAAACCATCCCTCTCTCTCACCTCCTTCCTCTTTCTCACCCCGTTCCTCTCTCTCACCCCCTCCCTCTCTTTCACCCCCTCCCTCTTTCTCACCCCCTTCCTCTCTCTCACCCCGTCTCTCTCTCTCACCCTGTCCCTCTCTCTCGCTCCATCCATCTCTCTCATTCCCTCCCTCACTCTCATTCCCTCCCTCACTCGCATTCCCTCCCTCACTCTCATCCCCTCCCTCTCTCTCACCCCCTCCCTTTCTCTCACCCCTTCCCTCTCTCTCGCCCCCTCCCTCTCTCTCAACCCCTCCCTCTCTCTCAATCCCTCCCTCTCTCTGACCCCCTACCTCTCTCTCACTCCTTCCCTCACTCTCAATCCCTCCCTCACTCTCAACCTCTCACCCCTTCCCTCTCACTCACCCTCTCCCTCTCTCACTTACTCTTCCCCTCCCTCTCTCACTTACCCTCCCCCCCCAGGGTATTGATTGCTCCAAGGTTATCAGTACAAAGTACGTGAATGTGAAGGAGTATTTTCCAGCTTGCTCTGCCTTCTACTACGTCCAGCCTGTGAGTTTCCCGTGTCCCACTCTAACTTCCATCTGGTATGCAATTGACTTCTGAGTCAGACTTAGAATGCATCGTGTGCGCGTTGTGTATGCATCATGTATGCATCATGTATGCATCGTGTATGTGCTGCCATGTGGTCCACGTGCTGCCACGTGCTGGCACATGCTGCCATGTGCCGCCATGTGCTGCCATGTGCTGCTACGTGCTGCCATGTGGTCCACGTGCTGCATGTGCTGCCATGTGCTGCCACGTGCTGCCATGTGCTGCCATGTGCTGCCATGTGCTGCCATGTGCTGCCATGTGCTGCCATGTGCTGCCACGTGCTGCCATGTGCTGCCATGTGCTCAGCAATTTCCCCATGCATTGCACTTCCTCTTCAACCCCACTCCTTCCTTTCACCGCGTGCCACTCCACCATGCTTTGCCCTACCATGCTTTGCCCTACCATGCTTTGCCCTACCATGGTTCGCCCAAGCGGAAAATGCACCACCTGCTACTCGGTCCTTCCTTTCGCTAGACGTTCCCAGAACTTCACTACCCCTGTTGCCGCATCCTTGTCTCCACCATGTTATCCACCTCTTCTCAAACCCTCCTCTCCTCTATTCCCCTGTTGCCTCTTCTCCCCACAGAATGACACATGTGCCTCAGTGGCAAAGTTTCTCAACCTCTCCGAGGAAGACCTGTGGAGGTACAACCCCAGCGGTACCTGCTCCTCACCCAATCCCTCTTTTCTTCTCACCCTCCTGCTGCCTTTCACTTCCACAGAATGACACATGCGCCTCGGTGGCCAAGTTTCTCAACATCTATGAGGAGGACCTGTGGAGGTACAACCCCGGAATGATCAACTCCTGCTCACGCCTCCCTGCGTTCCGCTCTCTGTGTGTGGAGAGAGAACCCGCCAAGGCCAACTGGGACTGTGTGAGCCGCGCACTGGCCCCCGGTGTGGTGAACTGGAAGCGCTTTGCCGTGGCCAATGGAGCCAGCACCCTGGACCTTGTCAGGCTCAACCCGTGGCTGGCCTTCCGTGATGCTGAGAGCGAGACCGACTCTGATTATGTGAGCTATTCTGATTGCGTGAGGTGTATAGCTGCTCTGATGTGGGGGTTGCCTGCACTGCGCTACATGCTTGCGCTGAAATGCGGTGCGAATGCCGAGCATCGTCTAATATCTCCATTTCTTCCTGCTCAAATGCTGCATTGTTGATTGCAGGTTTGTGTGTCTGCCACCTACAGCTAAGCACCTCTTGGACTTGTCAGTTTGGGACAGGTGGGTTGAGTTGAGAGGCCTTATGTCTTAGAGAGAGAAGTGACTGACCCCTGCTGTGGTGGAGCGGAGATGTTGTACGGCTGGATGAACAATGCTGCTTCTGGTGTGCTGAATCTGTTTCTTTTTCTTGGTGTATGGATGCCGTGTTTGTCATGATTATCGCGGAAACTGTTGTAGTGCGATGTGTGCTCTTTTATTATTATGACCATGCACTTTTATTATACCGTACGGTGCATCAAGGTTACGGTGAAATGTCTTTGTTGGTGTGGGTGATTTAGAGGCATGTAGGACATGGTACCGCCCACTTTCGCTTCACCTCTGCCTTCTGTCCCATGGATCATGGACCACAGAAACTCTTACAAGCTGCTAGACATGCATGAAGTACATGAACAGATATGTTATCATACAAATAAATGCCGTGGCTTGGATTGGGCTTTATCATACCGTCATGGCCCGGATAGAAGACAGTGTTGAATAGTAGACAGGGGTTGTCTATTTTCCGGTGTCTCTTATAAACAGGCTAGCCTCATTATAAGACACCTATTTAGGGGCAATTGTATAGCGAGGGGGTATCTTCTAAACGGTTCTTTGTCCATTTATAAGACTTATAAGACACCCTAAACCGTCCCAAATACAAGATAACTCAAGCATTTTGAATAGTTTACGAGATAAGACATATATGTCTTACCGGGCAATGACAGTACTGATGATGAATCAAGACTTGAGCATCCTGAACTTCACAAAAGATTTCAGTGGTGGAAGTTCTAGCTTGCAGCCAAGTCGGGCCATCGAGACTAGTTGAACCCCACCCGCATCCAATCCAACTGAGGTCAACGCACAAGCTCACTTCACTATCGTTCGCCTAGCCTTGGCTATACAAGGCAAAGCATCACCCAGACACCAACTTACACACACCTCCATTCTATCCACACTCCTTGCCTACAAGCCTCTCCTCATCATTGTTAGTTCACCTCCTTTTCCCCCATCATCACTCTCTGTGATGATCCTCATAGCACACACAACTCCGCAGCAGTTGTTGCCGCAACAGGGGCCTCAGTTCTGACGATACCACGGCGTGACCGTCGTGCCATCCAGGCCCTGCCTCTCAGGCCCTGTAGCCACCATCCCAGAAATGCCTCTCAGGTCCACCAGAGCAGTATCTACGGTAATCAAGAAGAACAATCTTGCAGATCCAAAATACATTATACCCTGTCCTTTGTGAAGACACTTGTACAACCAGCAACCACACTGCCTGCCCGGCATTTCTTATGCAGCTCCCCCGATGCATCCATGCAAGACATTCCTCACCCCTGATCTCAACCCCCGCCCGTCACTGCCACTGCTGCTGCCACTGCTGCCGCCCACCATGCTCGCCTCCCTCACTGCTCTATTGTAGCCCTTTTCCCCAGCCTCCCCTCCCCTTCCCCTCCTGCTCCGCCTCTCCTCCCCCCTCCCCTTCTTCTTCTCCGCCCCCCCCTGCTGATGACCGCTTTCCCCTGCTGATGACCGCTTTCCCCTGCTGATGACCGCTTTCCCCTGCTGATGACCGCTTTCCCCTGCTGATGACCGCTTTCCCCTGCTGGTGACCGCTTCCCCTGCTGATGACCGCTTTCCCCTGCTGATGACCGCTTCTCACTCCATCATAAGAAAAGCCAGGCAGGCAATTCCTATGCAGCTTCCCTCATGCACACAGTGGCCTCTTACCCAACCAGGCCCTCAGATTAGTTTTTGGGCTGTCTGATTCGTCAGACTTAGTACACTCTTTTTTTCTGATCAATCAGACTTGGCAAAAAAAAAAAACAAAATCTGAAATTTCAGAGTTCAATCGTATAAAAGTCTGATAACGAAAGTTCACATTCAGTAAAGAAACCTATTTCAGCCTAAAACGGGGAGACAACCTCGCCGCCGCGCTGCTGTCACTGTTTTAGCTTGACTCACACGACAATTGTACGGTACTTCCAGCGCTGAACGCGGCTGTCAGGGTTAGAGTAGGTACTCGCTAAAATGCTCGTGGGATGAGAGTACACTCCCAGAAAAGGCACATGCACGTGGGATCAGAGTACAACCAGCCCTGCACGTCCTGCTGTCCAACTGCAAGGCACGAGCCGCTCGACACGACCATTCTCCAACTCCATGCAAAATGCAAGATGAACCCAACCACCATTCCATGCCCCCTTCTTCCACATGCATAGCCTTTCACACTCCTGAATACTCAGTCAACTCTCAACATTCTTCACACCCCTGATCCCAACCCTCTCCTGCCGCTGCTGCTGCCGCTGCCACAGCTGTAGTCACTGCTGCTGGACTGCTACTGCCACTGCTGCCGGCATTGCCGCTGCCACTGCTGCTTGCCGCCACTGCAGCCGCCACTGCCGCTGCCACTGCTGCTGCCACTGCCGCTGTCACTGCTGCTGCCACTGCTGCTGCCACTGCTGCTGCCACTGCTGCTGCCACTGCCGCTGCCACTGATGCTGCCACTGCCGCTGTCACTGCTGCCACCACTGCCGCTGCCTCTGCTGCTGCCACTGTCGCTGCCTCTGTTGCTGCCACTGCCGCTACCAATGCTGCTGCCACTGCTGCTTGCCGCCACTGCAGCTGCCACTGTTGCCGCCGCTGCTGCCGCCCACCACGCTCGCCTCCCACGCAGCTATCTTACTCGCCCTTGTCCCCAGATTCCCTGCCTCCCCTCCCCTTCCCCTCCTGCTCCGCCTCGCCTCCCCTCTTCCCTTCCCCTTCCCCATCCGCCCTGCTCATGACCGCTTCCTTCTCCATCATAAGAAATGCCAGGCAGGCGATTTTTATGCAGCATCCCCTCATATACAAGTTGAGCCGTGCACAACCACCAATCCACGCTTCATTCCTTCACATGCATGTCTCTCTCCCCGTTCTTCACACCCCTCACCTTCATGCTTCTCATCAGTATCCTCTAGACAGTCACAATTAACTCATCCCTCACCACTACTCCCAATCTATCATTACGCGCTTGCGTATATCATTTGTAAGGCAACCCCTCTTTGGAAGCCAGAGAGTTGCCAGCTTGGTCAGGGCAATCAGCTGCTGCATCCCATCATCCGTGACCGCTGTGCCTTCCAGATCAAGCTCCTCAAGCGCTGTCAGCCTCCCCACGTGCACCATGCCAGCATCTGTCACGCCCTTGCATTTGGAAAGACTCATATTTTTGAGAGAGGAGAGATCTGTCAATTGTTGCAGCCCATCATCCGTGACTGCCGTAACACGCAGAGAAAGTTCCTGAAGCCCTGTCAGCCCCCCCAAATGAACCATGCCAAGATCTGTCACACCGCTGTTTTCCGAAAGCCACAGCACATTGAGAGAGGAGAGACCTGTCAAGTGTGGCAAACCAGCATCAGTCACCTTGGTGCGATGGAGATAGAGGGCCTTGAGACCGGTTAAGGACCCAACGCGTTCTAAGAAACTGTCTGAGATGTCTGTGTCATACAGGTATAGCTTTTCCAGCTGTGGCAGCCTGTACAGGTGCTTGATGCCCTCTGCACTGAAGCCTGAGCTAGATTCCAAATCAATGCTCCTCAAATGGGTCATTTGGGACACAAGGCGAAGGATGTCGTCGGGGAGGTCGCTGAAATTACTCAGGTCCAGCTGTGTCTCCTCTGATGCTGCTGCTGACTTGACCGCCTGGAGTGAATGGGTGAAGCGGACACATGTCACAGGGATAACTACGAAGACAAGGAATAGCAATGCATGCACTGTTAAAACAGTCACTAAGCACTCACCTCCATTGCTTTCTCATTACTGCTGAGACTCTGCCTGACTGCCAGCGCAATATTTGACTCCAGTTCCTTGCAGGCTACAAATTCCTCCATGGCACGTGGCCAAATCAAACGCTGCACCTCCCTCCTCCTCTCCTCCCTCTCCAATGCCAACTTGCTCTCATTTCATCCTTCCCCTTTCTTGCCTCCTCTCGTAGCTCTCTCAAATCCGATTGTCTTATTCTCTCAGCCATGATCACTTGTTCTGCCATAGCATCCTTAATTTCAACGAACCCCCCCTTCACTGCAGTCAAATCTCTCTCCCTCTCCTCCACCTGCCCTCTCATCTCTGCCATTTGTCTGCTTACAACCTCTTCTTGTTCCAACGTAGTTGACTGCTTGTGCTCAGCCAACTCCCCCTTCACTGCTGCAGAATCTGCGGCCATTTCTTTTCCTCTCTCCCCCCCCCTGCCTTCTCATCTCCCTCATCTCCGCCACTCGTCTCCTCTCAGCCTCACTCAACCCCGCCTTCACTCCTGCCAACTCCCCCTTAACTGCAGTCACCTCCCTCTTCACTGCTGCCAACTTTCTTCCCCTCTCCTCCATCACAGCAACGGTTGCCTCATACCTCTCCTCCAAAACAGTCAGCGTGTGCCGCAACTCATCTCCCTCCTCTTTGTATGCAGCCAGCTCCCCTTTCACTGCTGCCAACTCCCTCCCCCTCTCCTCCATCACAGAAGCAGTCGCCTCATTCTTCTCTTCCACAGCAAACAACATATTCTGCAACTCATTCAGCTCCTCCTTGTGTGCAGCCAGCTCCTCTCTTACTGCTGCCAGCACCGCCTCTTTGACCACGTCAATCAGTGTACCCATCACCCTCTCAGCAGCCATATCGTCCACTCACTCCCCTCGAAAAGCCCTCGTTCGATGTCTGACCGATTCGTGCGCTCAATCGCCCTATTTCACTGCAGACTGGGGGTAGGATAGGGCTGGGCGTTATGAGAGAAAAAAGAAACGTAAAAACAAAACAAGGAAAGTGGGCGTGGTTGGGAAAGGCACATGCTCCACTGGGTACCAAGAGGAAAAGACCCAGTGAAGCCAGGTGGGAGGCGCAGCCAGATCTCCTCGTGCAGCAGTACCCGAGGAGTGGTCATCTTCGGGGTGGGAGAGAAGGTCTGAAAGTAGTCAACTCCCTGCCGCCGACTGAAGCCACGAGCCACGTAGCGCGCCTTGAAGACAGGCGGAGAACCCGGCGGCCGCTTCACTCCGAAAATCCACATGCCTCTGACGATGTTCGCCCCAGGAGGGGGAACCTCGTCAACGTAGGTGCCTGTGGACTTCCAGGAAGCCATCTCTGCATCCATGGCTGCCTGCCAGTGAGAGGAGTAGGGACCCTCTATCGCCTCCGCGTAAGAGCGCGGAGTCGGGATGTCTGGTGCATCCGGGTCTCCCTCAGGGGGAAGCAGCATGGACACGAGATGAGGTGAAGCAGCAGCAAAGCACTGGAACTCCTCCTGCCTGTCCTCAAGGACGTCCGTACCAAGGGCACACTCACCCCCGATGGACGGAGGACAGACAGAATCAGACTCAGCGACAAGACTAGCAGCGTAGTCTAGGCGACAGTGAGCAGCAAAGTCGAGAAGCTCAGAAACTAAGGCAGACGCAGCCACTGACTCAAAGGAAGGGTCAGTGACGACACTAGCAAGGAGACGCGGGACAGTAGGACTGGCAGCACGAAGGGAGTCCGACTCCGGGTCAGCAAGAACAGGAAGAGAGGACTCAGGAGGAGAAGGCAAAGGGGCACGCAGCGGAGCAGTGGAGGGACGCAGAGACATCCGGTGCGTGCCGAGGACGGGGGGAGGACGCTGACGCGAACCACAACTACTAGTGCGAGCAGCACGGACAGGCGACGCAGGACAAGACGCATGCTGACGACGCTCAGCAAGACCTCCAGTAGGACCAGTGTAGGGAGAAGGAGCAGGCAGAGGAGAGGTAGGCTGTAACTGTGACTCGGACTGGACAGGCAGTGGACACTCTAAGGGAGGAGCCGTACTAGCAGAGGGCGGAAGACCAAGAGCCTGCTCAAGGAGCGGAACGAAGTACGGCCGCGGCCGCTCAGCACCACCAGCACCAGAAGGGACAGTACCAGCACCTCGAACGACAGCACCAGCGCCAGCAGTACCCCCAGCTCCAGCAGCGCCAACTCCAGTACCCTCAGAGGCACCAGCACCAGAGGCACCCTCAGCGCCAACACCCCCAGCAGCTCCAGCTCCAGCCGGACCACCAGAAGACGCACCGGGTCCAGCTCCAGCACCCTCAGTAGCACCGACGCCCGCAGCACCACCAGCTCCAGTACGAGAAGCACCCGCAGGCCCAGCAGCTCCAGTACTCCCAGAACGAGCACCTCCGGGATCCGCGGCACCAGCACCCTCAGCAGCAGCAGAACCTCCAGCACCCGCAGCACCTCCAGCTCCAGAAGCACGCCTCTAGCGCCGGGCAAACCACTCACGCAGCTCGTGTGGAGAGAGTAGCTCCCGCCGGGACGAAGCACCCGAAGAACCTCCAGGCCCAGCACCGCCAGACGCCACACGAGCAGGTCCAGTACCCTCAGACTCCGCACCCCCGGACGCAGCACCCCTAGGCTCAGCACCCCCAAACGCAGCATCCCCAGGCGTAGCACCCCCAGGCTCAGCACCCCCACGCGCAGCACCCCCAGAGTCAGCACCCCCAGGCTCAGCACACCCAGAGTCAGCACCCCCAGACCCAGCACCCGCAGGCTCAGCACCCCTAGCAGCACCAGAGTCAACAGCTACCTCGACAGGGTCGACTGCGTCTACCTGAGACACACCTGAGTGGGCAGGACCCTGAGGGGGGAGGGGGTCTACCGGAGGGGGACCTAGCGTAAGGAAAAGCGGCGGGGGGGGGGAGAGGGATGCAGTGCGGTAGGGGAAGAGACGGTAGTAGGGAACCGACTCGTCAAAGGTGACGTCCAGGGAGGACAGAACACGTCGCGAGGTGGGGTGGTAGAACTGCCAGCCCGGCGCGGCAGGGGGGAAGCCAAGGAAGACGCAAGGAACACCACGAGGGGACAGCTTGTCCGCAGACAAGTCGCGGACAAACGCCCGAGATCCCCAGACCCGATGGCAGACGCATCGCCAACCTTCCCCGTCCACCGCAAGGTGGGGGAGGTATGTGGCAAGGAGACCCGGGGCTGAAGGTTAAGCTGATGCGCTGCATACTAAACTGCAAACGGCCACACAAAATGGGGAGCAGCCGCATGGATCATGGACGTATGAGCGACGTCCATGAGCATGCCAATGCGGCGCTCAGCAATCCCATTTTGCTGTGGAGAGGCCGGAAGCGTGAAGGTCTGGCGGATGCCCTGTGCACGACAGAAGGCTCCCAGACAGGCAGAGGAAAACTCCCCGCCTGTGTCAGAGTGCAGACGCAGAACAGGAAAGTCCGAGCCGAAACTCTCTCTGAGCTGGAGACGAGCTGCGCGGATCCAGTCGATCAACACCTCAGTGACGTCACCCTTGCTACGCAAGGGGAACACCGTGGTGTAACGCTAGTAGTTATCAACCACCAGCAGGAAGTAACGCTCATGACCCTGTCCACGGACACGGGCTGGGCCCCACACGTCCATGTGAAGCGTCTGCAGCGGAGCCTCTGTCGGAGGAAACTCGGAGGAGTGAGGAGCAACGCGCTGCCGCCCCTCGACGCAGGGAACGCATGTGGGGGCAGGCCCCGGAGGAAGGGGAGGGAGGGACCGGGGGAGACCAGAGACAAGGACACGGGAGGCCATGCCTCGAAGACGAGGCAAGGAGGGGTGACCAAGGCGGTGGTGCCAGAGGAGAGTCTAGTGAGACAGGAGACGACACGAGCAGGGGGCAGACTCAGGACCAGACCTGGACGCCGCAGCAAACACCGGACCCGACGCGGCTACCTAAGCAGACTCAGTGACCGGAGGAGACTCAGTAGTTAGTGTGTACAGGCTCGACCCCGGTTGACGGGTAAACGTGGCCAAGTGACGGCCTGTCCGAGCATAGGTACAGTGGGTCACTCGCTGACTCGCAGGAGTGAACTGGTGAACCCCTCCATCCTGGAGGTCAGCACCACTCACCAAGTTCGTAGAGAACGAGGGGAGGTAAAGACCCGACAGGGTGCCAGAAGGGGCCGCCGGACATGGTAGAACAGTGGAGAAGTGGGCAAGGATAGGACCCCCAGAGGGGTCGGCCAGGGAGACTGCCACTGGCCGACTAAGCGGCGTAAGCATGGTGCGGTCTCGAAAGAAGGAGCGGGAAGCACCCGAGTCAAGGGTGAAGGTGTGGGTGGCTGGAGCCGACGCGGTACCTGAGAGCGCAGACTCACCAGCACCTGGGGCGGCAGGCTCACTGGCACCTAGAGCAGTAGCCTCACCAGCACCTAGAGCAGCAGCCTCAATGCCCGGGTCAGGCAGAAAACACCGGTAACAGTCACCCTCATCACTAATAGTCACAGCATACATTGCAAGAAGAATAGCATCATAATCAAGATCAAAGATCGCAACACATGCCCTAAACAGCTCGCCCCGGCGAGGGATCTCAGTAGCGTTGGGGAACTGATGACGCCGAGCGACTGTCAGGCGGCCGAAGCAGCGCTGGGTGGAGTGCGGATCCCCACATTGCTCACCCGTGCGGTCGCCTGTACGAAGAACGTAGGTACAGGGGCCAGCACCCCCAACCCGCTGACGAGCAGTGTACCACTCACGAAGCTGCTGGGGGGAAGGGGTCTCACGAATGCGCTGCTGCTGCTGCTGCAGCTGGCGCTGACCACCACCGGAGCCGACCCTCTGCGAAGAGCCACCCCGACCAGCTGCACCTCTGCCGCCGCTACCTCCACCACCGCCTCCACCTCCACCACCTCCGTTCGCACCGCCACCACCGCCGCCTCCTCCGCCTCCACTGCCGCCACTAGTGCCCCCACTCCCGCCACCACTCCCACCGCAACCCCCACCCCCTCCGCCGCCTCCACCGCCGCCTCCACCGCCCCCGCCAGCTCCTCCAGCGCCCTTGCCCCCCTTGCCCTTGCCTGAGCGGCGTCTCCCGCTAGGGGCAGACGCCGCGCCGACCGACTCAAGACCAACGAGGTCGGCTGCAGCAGCAGAGGCAACAGAGGGCAAGAGGGGGGAGGGGGAGCACCCCTCAAAGACAGGGGTACGAGGGTCACCACGAGAGGCTCCTACAACGACTATACTCTTTTCTCCTGCTAGGAGGCGCTCCTCCAGGAGGTCAAAGGTGAGGGTGATGGGGCAAACAGAGAGGAAGTGGTCCCTGACCGAGCGAAGGGTGTCAGGGAGCCGGGTGACTATGTAGTAGAGGGTGATGTACATAGGGGGGGGGTTCTTGGCGCAGAACTCAGCAGGAAGCGCAGCGCGGTAGCGAATGTCACTAGTGCGAAGGTGCGTAATGAGGTCAGCGACTGTGGGAAAAGCGGCGAGGTCAGGGAAGAGGTACGGCAGTATGAGGTGGCTAAGGGCAGGAGTGGCAGGGGAAGAGTAGCGTGCAACGACAGCGTCGTACAAGGTCTTAGCACTCTTGTACTGACTAAAATGCGCGCGCTCAGCGGTCGGTAAGTGGCGGCGCACAGTAAGGCGAGCAGCATCATCGCGCGTTGCCCATGTCAGAATGTTATAATTGTCTAGCCTACAGTGGGGTACTCTATAGCGAGTACAACCCAGTTAGGGTTTCCTATATGTATGCCAACTGCTGCTAGTGCAAGCTCTCTCTTCCCTCAGTCCTCATTCTTCACATGCTATCAGAGCATCTACGCTCCTGGCCTGTGGGCCCACCTAACTGCTTGCGCTGCTACTCTGTGTGCTGCACGCCCCGTGGCGTGCGACGGAATTGTTCTTCGTGTCGACCGCCCTCGTGTCGAGCACTCCTAGAGGCCCCTCTCACGGCCCCTCGCGCGACCCTTAGCGGCCCCGTCGCCACTCCCCGCGGCCCCGTCGCCGCCCTTCTCGGCCCCTCGCGGCCCCTTCGCGGCCCCGTCGCCGCCCCTAACGGCCCCGTCGCCGACCTTTCAGGCCCCTCGCGGCCCCTTATCGGCCCGTCGCCGCCCTTCCAGGCCCCTCGCGGCCCCTTTGCGGCCCCGTTGCCGCCCCTATCGGCCCCGTCGCCGACCTTTTAGGCCCCTCGCGGCCCCTTCGCGGCCCTGTCGCCGCCCCTTGCGGCCTCGTCGCCGCCCCTAGCGGCCCGTTGCCGCCCTTCTAGGCCCCTCGCGGCCCCTTCGCGGCCCCGTTGCCGCCCCTATCGGCCCCGTCGCCGCCTCCAGCGGCCCCGTCGCCGCCCCTTGCGGCCCCGTCGCCGCCCCTTTCGGCCCTGCCTCGACCCTGCCCCGGCCCCGCCCCGGCCATGCTCCGTCGCCTGTCGCGGCGCACCGGGGGCATGTGCACCGCACCCCCCTCTTTTCCCGTCGCCTGTCGAGGCGACCTGAGGGGGCCGCGTGCGGGGGGGCGAGCGTCGCCCCTTCTGCCGCCTGTTTTGGCGCCCTGGGAGGCCGCGCGTCGGCCCCCCTCCCCCCCCCACCCCCCCGTAACCTCCCTACCCGTCGCCCGGCCCTGCCCTGTGTTAGGGTTTGGGGGTGGCGAGTAGGGGGTGGTGGGTGTGTGGTCTCCCCTGCTCCTCCTCCTCCTCCTCCTCTGTCTCCCACTGCTGCAGCTGTCGCTGACGGGGATGGGTGTGTGGGAGTCGACGGAGTGGTGCTAGGGGGTGGGGTGTGAGTGAACCTAGGGTGCAGCAAGGGGTGTGTAAATGGGGGGTGGTATGGGAGTGGAACTAGGGTTTGAGCAGGGGGTGTGTGTCGAGGGGTGTGGGGCAGCTGGAGGAGGTTGTGTGAAGGTAGTTGTCGTGTTGCCTGCGGCGCTTGTAGTCCGACGCCCTTGCTTCGGTAGCCAGTGAGCCTGTTGCACCAGTCGCCAGTGGGTCCGTTGCTCCTGCCGCTCGTCTATAGCCGCGGAGCCAGTTACTCCAGTAGTCCGTCGCCCTTGCTTCAGTAGCCACTGAGTCAGCCGCTCCTGTGCCCGTGCCTCTGCAGCTTCAGTCGTTGCCTCCCATCTTCTCTCCCTCCACAGTCTCTCCTCCTCCTCACTTGCCCGCTGTGATTAACTCTAGCTTTGCTTGCTATTGTGAACTCCTACTCTATGCCTGCTTGCTCATTGTGCTGATTACACCCCACTTTGGCTATGGGGGTGTGTCAGAATGTTATAATTGTCTAGCTTGCAGTGGGGTACTCTATAGTGAGTACAACCTAATTAGGGTTTCCTATATGTATGCCAAGTGCTGCTAGTCCAAGCTCTCTCTTCTCTCATTCCTCATTCTTCACAGCCCACTATGAGCGAACAGTGGCGTCAGCATCAGCAGGAGGGGCAGAAGAGGCACCAGAGGTGAGGTCAAACAGAGTGAGACCGTCTGCCCTATCGCAATGTAGGAAAAGCTGCAGATCATCTACCCAGACCTCAAAGTCAACAGCCCGACCCTCACCGTCAAAGGTGAGAACACTGGGGGTGGCCATGACAGCAGTAGACTGGCAGAGAGAGCAGCGGGGTAGGGCAGTGCAGTGGCAGAGGCGCTGCTCTTACCAGCTAGGTGGGGCGGGCCGAGGAAGGCCGGCAGGGACAGGGCCGCGACTGCAAGGACTGCGGCGTCTCGGCTGCGGCGGCGTGGCGGCTCGGCAGCTCGACGGCTCGGCGGCTCGGCGGCTCGGCTGCAGGGCGGCTCGGCGGCTCGGCGGCTCGGCAGCTCGGCGGCTCGGCGGCTCGGCAGTTCGGCGGCTCGGCGTCTCGGCAGCTCGGCGGCACGGCGGCAAGGGCGGCTCGGCGGCTCCGCGGATCGGCGGTGACGGTGGCTCGACTGCTCGACGGGGCCAGGAAGGGCGGCTGAGGGGCCGAGGAAGGGCGGCAGGGCCACGAAGGGCGGTGACGGGGCCGCAAGGGGCGGCAACGAGGCCGCTGAAGGGCAGCGACGAGGCCGCTGAGGGGCGGCGACGGGGCCGCTGAAGGGCGGCGACGGGGCCGCGAAAGGGCGGCGACGGGGCCGCGGAAGGGCGGCAATGAGGCCGCTGAAGGGCGGCGACGGGGCCGCGGAAGGGCGACAATGGGGTCGCTGAAGGGCGGCGACGAGGCCGCGGAGGGGCGGCGACGTGGCCGCTGAAGGGCGGCGACGAGGCCGTAAGGGGCGGTCGCGGGGCCGCTAAAGGGCGGCGACGAGGGGCGGTCGCGGGGCCGTGAGGGGCGGCGACGGGGCCGTAAGGGGCGGTCGCGGGGCCATGAGGGGCGGCGACGGGGCCGTAAGGGGTGGTCGCAGGGCCGTGAGGGGCGGCGACGGGGCCGTAAGGGGCGGTCGCGGGGCCGTGAGGGGCGGCGACGAGGCCGTAAGGGGCGGTCGCGAGGCCGTAAGAGGCGGTCGCGGGGCCGTAAGGGGCGGCGACGGGGCCGCTAAGGGGCCACGCGGGGCCTAGAGAGGGCAGCGACGGGGCTTGAGGGGCCGCTAAGAAGGGCGCGACGGGTCGCTAAGGGCGGGACACTAGGCGCGCTTCGGGCAGGGGCGGCACGCGTCCCGGGTAGGAAAAAAACAATCTTGGTGGGCCCTAGGAGCAGTTCCCACGAGGGAACCTGCTCGATACCATGAGAAACTTAGAACGAGAATGAATGACTAAGGAATGAAAGTGATACAATGTGAAACCCTAGAATTGTGTACCCCTTAGTATCTAACCCGCTACAGCCTACATAGGCTAGATCATATAAGTTTGACAAGGTTTTGGGTGTCTTATAAGTCTTATAAATGGATTTTTTTTTGAACTACAATATTTCCAAAAAAATTTACACATCTTGAAAGGAGTTTCTCATTATGAGCGTGGATGTTGCGAAGGTGTGACTTCGGCAACCATTGTTCGGGGCGCCACGTCATGGAGAATACTTGCAGCGGCAAATTTGGTAGTACGTGAGTCAGCACGTGGCAGAATTCGCATGTTGAAAGGGTAAAAATGTATGTAGTACTTATATCCGGGTGATGACGGTATGGCAAATCCACCCATGGCACTCCCCCCCCAATCTCCTGCTCCTCACCCCTCCGATCCACCCAGTCCGCCTCGGCCTCCCCTAGCATATAAGTTGCCTGCAATAAGATCACCCGAGCCTGTGCCTTATGCAAAGCTACCCCCACCGTGACCGTCAAAGACCCCACAAAGTATGCTGTGAATCCCATGATGTTGCCCCTTCCCACCCCTTTGTTTAGTGCCACCTTTAGATGAACATCCCCTTGCTGTCGCAACCACTGACAGAAACTTCCTCCCAAGCAGCCCCAAGTCTTAAGAATCAACGGGATGAAACGAACCCCTTTGTGCCGCTGCAAAAAAGGATGGTAGATCACCGCTTTCCTCCTCTCCCGCTCCTTGGCAGCATAACCAACCGCCCGTCCACACTGCCCATGCTGCTGCACTGATAGAGAAACAGGGTCGACAACGCTATGTCACGTAGGATTGTTGGTGGAATTAGGCAGTATGTATTAATGATGCTATTATAGTTCAACAAATTGATGTATCATAAAGTAAATGGGCTCTATGTGGCGGCGGAGGGGAGGTGGCGGGAGCTGTTCGACTCTGCCATGGCCGCGGCGCGGCCAGCAGTTCGTCCACTTGCCTACACTTGCTCTGACCAGGACCCGGATGCCATCCACCTGTCACGTTGCCGAGCTCGGTGTAAAGTGGGAGAGTGGAGTCGTGGACTCGCTTGCCTTACCGCAGGAGAGTTGGCGCAACCGTCTGAGGCCATGGTGCAGTCGTTGCAAGAGAAGCACCCTGCTAGCACTGGCGAGGTACCACAGTGGGTCCGTGATTTCACTGTCGATGCTCCTCAGCGGCCTCCACTGACGACCGACGTCCTGGCCAGAGCCATTCATACAGCCGCTCGCGCTTCAGCAGCAGGGCCATCGGGGTGGGTCACAGAGCATCTGCGCGACACCTTCCTCACTGAACCTTCCTGCCTTCCCCACCTATTGGAGGTGTTCAACCAATGGGTGGCAGGTCAGGTCCCCGAGCGGGCACGGCCCTGGCTCGCCGCATCCAACCTAGTTGGGCTTTCCAAGCCTAACGGCGGCGTTCGGCCAGTGGCGATTGGGGAGGTGCTTCCGCGTATCCTGGCTCGAGCTCTTTGCATCTCGCTCCGCCCTGCTATGGCTTCCTACTTCCTGCCGTGCAACCAGCTGGGAGCGGGCACCAGGGTCGGGGTGGAGATTCTTACTCATTCTTTCCGGTCAGCGCTGGCCACTCACCCCGATTGGTGCGCGTTGCAGATAGATGTCGCGAACGCCTTCAATTCTTTTCACCGTCATGCGATGTTTGAGGGGCTGCGGGAGTCGCCTTTCTCAGGGTTGATCCCATTCTTGCGTGTTTTCTACGGGTCACCTATCGACTTGTATCTCCGAGCGGGCCCTTTCGTACAGAGTCTTGAGTCGGCACGAGGTTCGCGGCAGGGGGACCCGCTCGGCCCTTTTCTTTTTGCGTTCACGCAGCAGCAAGTGATGGCGTCAGTGATAAGAGGGTTCAGGGATATACTTTTCCTGAGTTATGCGGACGATACCTACATCCTGGGACCAGCGGCTAGGATCTTAGAGGCTTTTGGGGTGCTGCGGGAGCGGTTGGAGTGGGTGGGGCTGGAGGTGCAGGCGCACAAGTGCCGGTTTTGGGATGTGGAGCGGGCACTGCCATTAGGGATGCAGCGGGTGGAGGAGGGTCTCACGCTGGTGGGCGTACCTATTGGGGAGGAGGATTGGGAGGTGGGCCGATTACGGAGCGGCTTCGACAGTTGCAGGGGCCATTGCCATGGCTCCCCCTGCTTGACCACCCCCAGATGGCTTCATATCTCCTCGCCATTACAGTTTCAGCACGGCCGATATACCTGGCCCGGACTATGCCGCCGCGTCCGGAGGTGGTGGAGGCCTTTAGGGATTGGGACAGCTGTCTGGAGGATTGCTTCGAGCAGCTTTTCCCACCTGGCACTTGGGAGCAGGACCCCGACCGGTCTAGGCGCGCGCGCATGCAACTGCATCTTCCCGTGCGACTCGGGGGGTTCGGGATTAGGGCGGCGGCCTCTTTGAGCCCGCTGTCCTATGTTTGTGGGTGGGCGCAGGCCGCGCGTGATGTTGCGCAGTTGGGGGTGGCGGGGGAAGAGGCGATGTTTGCAGAGTACCTCACCACCTCGGGGGGGGGCGGAGCTTCTTGACCCTTGGTTTGCCAAGGCTATTGAGCAGCTGCCAGCGACTATACGCCAGGAGATGCCGGGCTTACCTCTCTGTGCAGCGGCTTCCCCTCTTCGACTTTTCCAGGCGCGGCAGCAGCAGTTGGCTGTAGAGGAGCTCCAAGCACTGCGCCGCTCGGCTCGTGACGATGCCACCCTGGCCCGTTTCACATCCCTTCAAGGCCCGGGGGCTGGTGCATGGGTTTCGGCGGTCTCGGCTCACTCAGATCTCACATTCACTGCGGCGGAGTGGGGCATTGCTGCTGCTATACGGCTTGGTCTCCCAATTCAGCAGCTGCAGGTCGCGGGGAGGTGTGTTTGTGGCACAGCGTATGTTGACCCAGCAGACCCGCATCATGCCTTGAGATGCAAGCACCAGCACGGCCCATCTCGGGTGCATGACGAGGTGAAATTTGCGGTGGCGAGGATCTCTAAGGCGTCAGGGGGGGTGGTGACGATGGAGGATGGTGTGGTGCTGCCGGGGAAGCGGGTTGACGTGGCGGTGCGACGACCAATGGCCGGGGAGGCTCACGCTCTAGAGATCAGCGTCGCGGACCCACTATCGCTGTCCCCATCTCTGCTAGGGCAGTGCGGTCATTCTATGGGTGTGGCGGCAAGGGAGTGGGAGCGTCGCAAAACGAGTGATTACGCGCCTCTGCTTGCGCGCAACCGGGGCGTGCAGTTCACTCCGTTGATAGTAGAGACGTGGGGATGTCTTGACGGGCGTTTCCGGCAGTGGCTTCGATGACAGGGGGATGCACACGTGGGGCTAGCCGTGTCACGGGGGGCTTGTCGGGAGGATGACTTTTCGTTTTCGGCTTATCTTTTGGGGACTCTAAAGGCGCTCATTGGGGTAGCGTTACAACGGGCGCAAGCTTGTGTCATCTTGCTTCGAGCGGCGTCTTGTATGGGGGGGATGAATGTGGACTTGGTGGACCGGGAGAAGGAAGACGTCGAGGAGGAGGGTGGGGCTCTTTGGGTGGAGGCCCGGTATATGGTGGATGCGCAAATGTGAAATGGGGTGCGGGATGGGGTGTGTTGATGGGGTGTCCTGACTGGGTGTTCAGTTGATGGGGTGTCCTGACTGGGTGATTCACTAACCGCACTAAAACGCACCGAACACCAAGTGCCACCCCAAGTGAACTAGTCCCCTAGTCATTTCCACCCCTCCCTCCCATCATTCCGTCACATTCCTATCACACTTCAGAAATAGAGGTATCATTTCGTATCAATCAATTACAATATTGGTAACAGGTTAGAAATTGTTGGACGTGTTGACTTTGTGCTGGTTCCGTTTGTCTTGTCTAAAAAAATAAAGTAAATGGGCTCTATGCCATGTTCTACGCCTTGCAACTCGTTTCTAACGAAGAGTTGTCGAATTTCAGGCAACTGAACCCAGTTTTCGAGGGTCGTGTTTCTCAATCGCTTCAATAATTGAGTTTGTTTCAATTGGATAGGCATGAGCTGTCAGTCACACGAGGTTCGGGCGTTTTCCAGAACGCGTTTCTATCTTGCAAAAAGCCGTCAGATTTTCCTAGTGTCAGCCGGAGAGGAGGGTCGTCAGTCCACATGTGGCCCCTCAATCACGTGTCACATCGACTAGTAAAATCGACTAAGTTTGTGATCGAAACTGTACCGAGATTTGATCCCGGTCAGCCGGAGAGGAGGTACGGCCATTAACATATAAATGGGGTCTGTCCCGGAACACGTTCCTAGCGGTTATACCTCATTGGCTGGAACCCCAATAACACCACTCCAAATCCACAGATATCACTCGAAGCCACATTGGCTGGAGAGGACAGGATCGCGTTCTCCCATGAATGACTTCCGCAGCCGTCGGCCACGGCGAAAGCACTCGCGCGCGCCATGGGCACGCTCGCGCTCGTCATAGGCACGCTCGCGCTCGTTATGGGGCACCGTGCGCGTCACCCTATACCCGCTGCGTCACGGCGCCCTTGCTCGCCGTGCGCTGTCGCTGCATCACCCGCGTGCGCTCGAGCTCTTCACGGGCATCGTGCGCGTCACACCCGCTGCGCCGCCGCACGCCAGGCGGATCATGCGCGGCGTCGTCAGGCGACGAGTGAGGCAATGGCTCACTCGGAGTGCACTTGCTAGCGTGACGTGGCGATGACCATTTAAGCATACTTTGTCCATACCGCGGCTCATTACCGGGTCTTCACCGCCTCGTCTATTACAACCGGTAGCATCACCGCCCGTGCGGTTTCACTCTTTTCCTACCACTCCTCCCTCCGACTAGTGCATTCCGACATCTTCTGCTCTTCCCAGCCGCGTCACGGTAGCAGCAATCTCCCTGCGACGCGTCTCTCGCGAGCCCAGCAACGTCGGCTCGACCCTGTACCGCCGCGCAAGGGTGAAGATCCAGAGGCGTGCATAAGCACCTGCATTGTGACATCATCCGCTCCCCGAGCCCCGCCGCGTCTGCTCGGCGCCTCTCGGGAGCCCAGCAATGTCAGCTCGAGCCTGTACCGCCACATAGGGTGAAGATTCAGCAACTTTGAAGGGGCCTTGAAAATTGCCTGTACCGCCGCACAGGGTGAAGATTCACCAGCATGATGGGGACTCCAACTCGCAAGGCCGTCACGGCTGCTCTGCTCGCCGTCGTGGTCGTCATCGCGGGTACGCATCGTGTGTTCTCCTGCGCTCGCATGCTCATTTGCTCGCATAGTCAGCATGCACCTCGCACAGCAACAAAGGCCCAAACTCGGCTTGCTCACTCGCATCTTCATGGTCGGTCCCCCAATGCCGCACACACCGCCCCCCTCCGTGCGCCCCCCACCCCACGTGTCCCATTCCCACAGTCGCAGCAGCTGCTCCGGCGGCGAGCGCGGCAGCCCTGGTGGGCACGCGGGTGAAGGTCAACGGCCTCTCTTATGCCTTCAACTCGCGCAGCCGTGTCGCCATTGTGCCCAGCCTGGGCGGCGGGTCCTTGAAGGTGCAGGTGGCGTGGCAGCAGGATGGCAAGGCTGCTTGCGACAAGATTCTGTTCTTCCGCGCTTCCAGCTGCAGTGGAAGGGCATTCGGCTCTCTCGTGTATGGTCAGCAGAGGTGAGCGTTTGATGCTACTCGCACCCTCACTCTCACTCTCACTTACACCCTCACTCTCACTCTCAGTCTCACCCTCACTCTCACTCTCACCCTCACACTCACTCTCACTCTCACCCTCACACTCACTCTCACTAATTCCCTGCTCCCGAAGCCGCTCGTTCAAACCCCACATGACCAACGACCTTGCTCTCATGCTGCCCTCCCCGTGCCTTGCCCTCCTCGTGCCTTGCCCTCCCCGTGCCTTGCCCTCCCCGTGCCTTGCCCTCCCCGTGCCTTGCCCTCCCTGTGCCTTGCCCTCCCCGTGCCTTGCCCTCCCCGTGCCTTGCCCTCCCCGTGCCTTGCCCTCCCCGTGCCTTGCCCTCCCCGTGCCTTGCCCTCACCGTGCCTTGCCCTCCCCGTGCCTTGCCCTCCCCGTGCCTTGCCCTCCCCGTGCCTTGCCCTCCCCGTGCCTTGCCCTCCCCGTGCCTTGCCCTCCCCGTGCCTTGCCCTCCCCGTGCCTTGCCCTCCCCGTGCCTTGCCCTTCCCGTGCCTTGCCCTCCCCGTGCCTTGCCCTCCCCGTGCCTTGCCCTCCCCGTGCCTTGCCCTCCCCGTGCCTTGCCCTCCCCGTGCCTTGCCCTCCCTGTGCCCAGGTCCAAGCTCCTTGGCAACGCTTTTATCTCCGCGCGCTGCATCACTGGTGGCGTCGTTACCACAACACCTGCCAGCACCACCTCGACACCCACCAGCGACACCAGTGCACCTGGCGGCGACAACACAACACCTGCTGGCGATACCACCACACCTGCCAGCGATACTATTGCAGCTGCCGGCGACGCCACAACACCTGCTGGCGATAACACAACACCTTCCACCACCACCGCACCTGTTGGTGACACCACCACACCTGCCACCACCACCACCCCTGCCGGCGACACCACCACACCTTCCAGCGACAACACAACACCTGCTGGTGCCACGTCAGCTCCTTCTGAGTACCCCGACTTAAAGAGGATAACCAGTAAGCCCCAATCTATTTGTTCCCCGTCCCGCTACCTGTGGGGAGCTGCCGTCACTTGCGCTCAAGAGAAGCTCGTTGTCGGATCAATAGCTTTTCAACACTGCCTAATTCTATGCTCCTCTTCTCCTCTGCGCCGCCTGCCGGCCTGCCCCACGCATCCCCCTCCACTGCTAACCCCTCCACTGCTAACCCCTCCACTGCTATCCTCTGCTGCCGTCGCTGGTCCCTCTCTAGTGGGCCGCTGTGCTCAATGGAACGGGAATCCTTGTTATTGCACACCCCCCTTTCTATCCTCCGCGCCACTCCACTGCTAACCCCTCCAGTGCTATCCTCTCCTACCTTGGTTGGTCCCTCGTTAGCGGGCATATGTGGCACGTACAGGCAGAACCCGTGCCAGGCAGGCTCGTGCTTTGACAGCAGCTGACTTTTGAGTGGACTAAAAAATCGAAGCCCTTAGATCTATCCGCTGCTGCCTTGGTTTGACCCTTTGTTGGTCCCTTTCAGCGGGCGCATGTGGAAGCTACAGGCAGAACCCGTGCCAGGCGGGCGCGTGCTTCGACAGCCGTGCCCGGAGCTTCTTCACATGCATCTGCCCGCCCAAGTACCAAACGACTTCCAACGGTTGCGGTAAGCTTGCACTCGCTGCTGAACCCTTGCAAGGTGGGCTCGTGCTTCTACAGTGGCACCAAGGGATTCTCCTGCATCTGCTCGCCCAAGTACCAAAAGATTTCCGGTTGTTGTGGTAAGCTTGCTCTCTCTGCTACCAGACGAATTGTCACGGTTGTGTGCTGCTGTCGTGACGGACAATGGTTTTGAGACCTTTCAGAATTGTTGTTGATCGTGTGTAGTGCAGCTAGGGTTTCGGAGTCTTGTGAGGTTGAAGAAGTCAATAGCGATGACTGGAGGTGCCTTGTGAGTCGACTCAAAGTCACCTAGCTATCTATGCATGCATGTTGCGTCTTCACCACTTCTACTGTGCGTGTGCAGCGAGGGTTTCGGAGTCTTGTGAGATTCAAGAGGCCGCTGGCAATGAATGGAGGTGCTTCTTGAGTTGACTCAGAAATCACCTAGCTATCTATGCATGTCGCGTCTTCTCGGTGGTTGTTAATCGTGTGCAGCAAGGGTGGCGGAGTCTCGTGAGGTGCAAGAGGTCACTGGCGATGACTGGACGTGCAAGGACGTGTACTCCATGTTTGGGCTCACGCTCAAGGAATTCGTGGGCATGAACCCGGTGAGTCCCGTGTTGGGCACGTTGGGGGCATTAGAGTCATTCACGCACCATGTCACCCCATGTGGCACCGTGGCACTATTTCACGTCGAGGACGTTGGGGGCATTAGTGTAACACGGGCTTATATGAAAACGCCCTTAAACTCACAACAAAGACCCGGGCTTATAAATGAATGCCCACAAAAGGGTCAATAGTAGGCTTATAAAACGCCAAGAATACACACACACCGTGAAAAACTAGTCCTATTAATAGCCTCAAGTCTTGGAAGCTTGATAGGTGAAGCCTTGGGAGAGAAAAGGTAACTTCACCAAGAAGGTAGTAGACGCCTGGAGCACTTGTGAGGGAAAAGACTTGGACTTAGAGAGAAGATCCCATTTCCATTTTGGTTAATTGGAAGTTGGGAGTTGAGAATGAGCTTGGTGAGCTCAATCCCCCCCTAGACCTCCTTGGGGAGCTCCACTTCCTCCATAGCAACAAGGGCAAGGAGCTCCTTGGTGTGAGCTTGCTTAAGTGGCACAATGGTTGGATTAGCAACCAATGAGAGCAATAGAATTGTGATAAGAATGGTTATGTTACATGTTGTAACTTGTAACAACAATGTTCAATTGTCATTGGTTGGAATTCCAACCAATGTGGGGTTGGGTTGGATTCCAACCATGCTTGTCTTTTAGTGGGTGGTTGTCCACAATTGTGGACCAATCACCACTCATCTCCTCCATCCTC